ACCTGACACTGGGGAGCAGGAACCGCACTGTGCAGCTCTAGGGGCCTGGCCAGCACAGACCCTGCACTCTGGGGACACCACACCCCAGCCAGCTGTGGGTGAGACGCAGGCACCGGCAGAGCAGCCTATTCACAGAGCCACCCCAGGCCCTCTGGGCAGGGAGCCGAGAACCCATCCCAGTGTGCGGTGGGGCAGGGGGGGTTTCTCTGTGGGGTGTGTCGAGAGAAGGTGACTCTGTGCTCCAGAAAGCTGGGGGCTCCCGGACGCCAGAAGTCTCTGCCTCTGCCCCTTTGGCAGCCCCTCGACCTCCTGATCCTTCCACACAGAAACCCCCCACCCCACTTACAGGCTCGTTCGTCACCTGACCCTTCTGCCACAGCTCCCTCCCCTCCCCGCCCCAGGCAGCTCACCTCCAACTTGTGCACAAGCTTTTTCTTGATGGCATTCTGAGCTGCGGCATTGGTCGCTATGCGGAGCCCCTCAGCCGCTTCCCGGAGCCGCTGCTGCTGCTCCTCGCTGTCTGGGTGGGCTGCAGCCCCCTGGGCAGAGCAGGAAAACCTTTCAAGTCAGATGCCTCCCAGACTGCACCCAGCAATCTCCCCCACCCTGACAGCAGCTGCTGTATCTCACCCTTAGCACCAGAGTCCCCCCGCTTGGCTCACTACAGCACAAGAGCGGGGTCTGCAATCCGAGCCCCAGAGGAGCACGATGCTTCTCCTAAAGAGGTCAGTAGTGAAAGAAGTAACAGCACTGCTATTCAAATGCCATTATTAGGTTTCAGAGTCAACAAGCCTATTGAGATGCATGGAAACAGTGCTCCGAGCCTGGCACAGAGAACCTCATGGACTGAGAAACAGGAATGAGCTCCTGCCTAAGGGTAACGGGGGGCTGCAGTTTCACAGCCTTGGGATCCCCGGCATGGTACAGCCTACAAAGAGAATACACCTGTATGTGTTCATATGAAACACTGACATGTGAGTACGCCCACAAATCTATTTCTTAAAAATACCCTTGTCAAGTGAGCTCTAATACAACAGAAGTAAAGTGAAGTGCGACAATGTAAAGGCAAGTTAAGAACAAGTTCAAACATGTTTCGGTTCGAACTGGTCTTTACAAGTGTTTTAAAGTTTAAAAAAATGCTCTGTATATTAATAGTTATTAATATGGTATTTATGCAAATGTTAATTAAAATAATACTTAACGTTAAATAGGCAATAAAAGGTAAAAAATGTAATTATATTAGCAAAAACAAATATAGTAAAAAGTAAATTTAATGGTAATTAATTAAAGTAAGTTATAATTAATTATATGCTAATTTTAGATTAGGCACATCCATCTGCCATCAAAGCAATTTTAAAAAACTTCTACCCATTCTCCTCATTTAGGGGCTAAAATGTGAGTACAAGGTTATACCGTGAGGCCTGGCTGCTTAACAGAAAACAGCTTTTAACTTTATCACTCACTGTCTCTCACAGCCGCCCCCCAAATGTCTGTAGCTCAAACCTTGAAACATTCAGTTTAGTTTAATTTTAAATGACTAATTACAGACATTACAGGGGGCGCTCAGGCCTGCCCAGAACAGGTCCTGGTGTACTCGCCCCTCTGCCCTATATGCTGAATGCCTGACAGGGCCTGCCCTGCCCTGCCCTCCCCAGGCCGCGCCATGCCTGCCCTCAGCCCGAGAGCCGCACTTCTGCTCTCTGCTACTCCTGGCACCAGGTCGGGGCTGCCTGCCCTGCACAGACCAGGAGCCACACTGGGTTTCCAAAGGAAGCTCGAATCCTGCCCCCCACCCCTCGCCCGGAGTGCTGCAGACCTTCGCTGCCTCCACCATCTTGGCTGTGGCGTCGGCCAGCATCTTGGCGGCACTTAGCAGCTTGCGCGAGTTCTCCAGGTCCGTCTCCCCCTCGGCGTCAGCTTTGATGGCATTTACGAGGTCAGAGGTTGCCTGAGCCAGAATACGAGCCTGGCGCACCATTTCCCCTGGGGACCAAAGGAAGAGCTGCCTGTCAGCGAGCCCTGGACATCACCCACCTGCACACCACATGAGACTGCAGAGGGGTCAGCCGGCGCCCTCCACCCAGTCCTGAGACCGTGGCAGGGTCAGTCGGCGCCGCCCCCTGCACCCCTCGCAGCAGGGCCAGCTGGCACCGCCCACCGCACCCCTGGGACCGTGGCAGGGCCAGTCGGCGCCCGCCCCTGCCACCCCTCGCAGCAGGGCCAGCTCGGCACCCCCACCTGCACCCTCACTGGGAGCTCTTCATGTCCCTGCACCCCACTCCTAGGCCATGGCAAGGTCAGTGCAGGCCTGGCAGAGACGGACCCTTCACCTTGTGAGATCACAGCATGGAGCAGGCTCTATGCCAGCAGCCCATGCGGGCCACCACCCTAGAAGATGCTGTTACCCTGTGATGGCCCCTCCCCAGCCCCACACCCCCCTGCCCTGTGGTTCTCCAGGCCCCCGCCCCTCACCCGCGTCGCCCATGGAGCTGAAGATATTCTCGGTGACGTTGAGGATGGTGTCAGTGGCCTGGTCGTAGCGCCCGATGGGCTGCCCGCCGGTGGCGTGCTGTTTGATGTGCTGCAGCAGGTCGTTCAGGGCCTGCGTCACTGCTGTGGCTGCCACCCCCACCTGCTTCAGCAGCTGGTCGTCATTGGTGGCTGCCTGGGAGGCCTCCACGCAGCCTTCCGCCGACTTCGCCACCAGCTTGCCAGCCTCAACCAGCTGCTCCTGGCACACAGGGGAGCTGATCGTGGGAGCCACCACCTGCAGGAGAAGGGGGAGACCACCAGCGCCGTTACTGACCCCGGCCCCATGTCTGCCAGCGCTGCAGCACACACAGGGTTAATACTGCCCCCCCTGGGTCCAGCACTGCAGCGCACACAGGGTTAATACTGCCCCGCTGGGTCCAGCACTGCAGCGCACACAGGGTTAATACTGCCCCCCTGGGTCCAGCACTGCAGCGCACACAGGGTTAATACTGCCCCGCTGGGTCCAGCACTGCAGCGCAGAGAGGGTTAATGCCCCCGGCCCCAAGGGGGTTCATTCAGAAAGGGCTTGGGGCCCCGGGACAGTTACAGACCCAACAAAGGCCACGGGGCAGGGAGCTCTGCCAGCCCTGCAAACCCAGGGCCAGCGGACAGAGCAGGAGCTCAGTGCATCAGCCCCAGGTCCCCCTCCCTCCCATGAAAGCGGGGAAGCAGGAGGGGCCGGAGGTACCCAGGGCCCAGCCCAGTTAGAGCGAGCAGCTGTCGGACACCGGGAACTGGCCCTGGGAGCAGCTCCCCTGGGCTGCCCCAGCTGGGCATTCTGAGCAGCCCTGCAGAGCATGGAGCTGTCGCCTTTCGCCCTGTGCCGGCTCTGCAGCGCTGAACGGAGGGTGCTGGGCGCAGAGCAGGGGTGGTGTGCGGGCAGGGGAGGGATCAGCCACCTGGCTCCTGAGCCGGCTCTTACCTTGGTGCAGGCCACCAGCTGGGAGGTGGAGAGGGCGCACTGCGTGGCAGCCGCGATCACCTGGGTTTGCAGCGCCGAGTCCTCTGTCTTCTGGGCCACATTCTTGGCTTTCAGGACCAGCGCAGCGGCTGCGCTGGCCACTGCCTTAGCCAGCTGCATGAGCATGTCCTGGGGGGAGGCAGAGGGTCAGTGCAGGCCCCGGCGTACGGAGCTGCAGGCCAGCTGGCAGGCCCACCCAGAACCTCGTGAAATATTCAACAGGGAAACAGGAGCTCGTAGGACCGTCTCATGTAACCAGCCCCGGGGAGGGCTCAGAGCCAGCAACGCCTGCGGGCAACAACGGGCACTGCCCGCTGCAGGCCACAGCCAGTACTGAGACCGCACACGCCACAGGCTCCGAGCAAGTGTCGCCACACGACGGGCACCACCAGCCACATTGCAGGCAGTCTGCCCCTCAGCAGAACCACGGCTCTGACAGCACACAACAGACAACCACCGACACAACCCGCTGCAATCGACAATCCACATTCCCCCAGAGCGCTCCGCACGCGGCACATGGCAGCCGGCAGGGCCACGAGGCCCTGTCCTTGCACACATGGCCAGCCCTACCACACCGCACACTGCCCTGGCAGTCCACCTCCCTCACCCAGAGCCCCTGCTACAGATGCTCCGGCCCCGGCCGGCCTTCCCTCCCTTGCTCCTCAATCTGCTGCAATCAGAGGCCGCTTTCCCCCGACCCATCACCGGTTCCAGCCACAATCACAAGCCAGGAGAAGATATGCACCAAGCTCATTAGTTCCCAGTCCCAATCACACCCAGATTAACCGACTGCAGCAGCAGCGACCCCGATAGGAGAGTGCGGGAGGCAGGAAGTGGATACACTCGGGTCTGGCTGCTGAGAAGCAGAGCCTGGCAGACGGAGGTCAGGCTGGGGGCTCGGGCTCTGCTCCCCTTGGTGTCTGTCTGAACAGCTACATGCCAGTCACTGCGCCTGACCCAACCCCTCGGCCTGCAGCACAGACGAGAGCCTCAGGGCCTAGAAGAGAAGTCCTGAGAGCGGCTCAGACAGGCCGGTCCCATCACTCTCAGCCCCTTACTCCCTACTGGCTGCCTCTCTCTAGCGCATCCCTTCATGGACTCCTGCAGCCCTCTCCTTCCTCTCAGCTCTTCCCCTTGCCTCAGCTCCATCTCCCCTCTGCTCTGCGCCAGTCCCACTGGCCGGGCGCCCCCAAGAGCACTACACATCTGTGCGGCCCCCATGCCGGCGTGAGCCCGGGCAGGAGGGCTCTGCTGGCTCAGGGACAGCCAGTGCTGGGGGAAGGGGGGGTCCACTGGAGCAGAGGGGACTGGGGGGGGAACAGTGATAGGGATTTGGGGGCGCAGGGCAGAGCTGTGAGTGGTCACTGGAGCAGAGTGACCTGAGTGCATGAACTTCCGAGATTCAGCTACAGGAAAAGCAGATTTTGACAAGTTCCCTTCCCAAAGAACCCAGCTGATTGTGTTCCCGAGAGGAGGGCTGGGAGCCCCTGGACTCCCCCCTCTTTACCGTCTTTGGCTCTGAGGTGGGCAGGGTCCGAGCGCGGCGGCTCTCTGGGATCTGCACGGGAATCCACAAGAGAAGAAGCGTTACTCCGTGGAGGCTCTGGCTGGGGGCAGGAGTGGCCCTGCCCCCCGTGTCTGGCACAGCAGTCGTCCACAGGGCCCGGGCTGGGGCAGCCCACACCGCCTGCCCCAGCCTCTGTGCTGGGAGAAGAGACCCGCAGGACAATCCTGCGAAAAGGACCTGCTCCCATTAGCGTCCATCCACCCCGTCCCTCCCCTGGCCAGGGCTGCGCTCACCTGGAACCGAGGATCCGTGTCGCTCTCTCCAATCTGCTGCAGCAGCTCCCCGCTTGTCTGGCCCACGGAGCCGGCCGCCTGCAGCAGGTTCTGTCGCGGCTGCAGGGAACCAGGGCAAACACATGATCAGGCCTCGGAGCCCCTCCCCGCTGCTCCTCTGGCCCGTCGCCCCCTCTGTCCCTCTTTCCTCCCCTGCCCCACGCTCACCTCGACACTGGCTGGCTGTGCCGTTTTCAGCAGGTCTGAGACGGCGCTCGCCAGGTTCTTGGCAGCCTGCAGGAGCTGTCGCCCATTCCCCCCTTCATCCTCCATGAGCGCGGCCAGCAGCTTCACGCCCTTGGACATCTCGGTCAGGTTGGAGGAGATGGTGGTGACGGCGCAGCCCACGGCCGTGTAATCCGTGTCGGCTGGGTCCCCTGTGCAGGGAGGAGACAGGAGTAGTGGGAGCAGCAAGGGCAGCAAGTAGCCCCCACAGCCCAAGGAGACGGAAGCACCAAGCCTGCCCCAGCTCAGTGACTGCTTGGCCCGACTCCCCTGCCCGTCCTGGAGCCCAGGGGGCACAGCCCAGGCCTGGGGGTGCGCTGGGCTGGGAGGCCGGTGCCACGGTGGGAACTGTGTGATACACTCACATTCAGAGGGAGAGCAGCAACGCAGAGTGGGGGCAAGGCAGGGGGAGCCCAGCTCCTTGGGACCAAGAGGGGCATGGGGCAGAGAGCACTGGCGGCAGGGCAGGGGGCTAGGATTTCTGCTGCGTGGGGGCAGTGTCCAGGGTCCAGCCAGCACTGGGCCTTGCTGGGGGAAGGGGCAACAGTCTCTACCCCAGGGTCCAATCTTGGGTCACACCAGTCGCAGAGGTCCCAGCACTAGGCAGGGGCAGGGCGCCCCTGCAGCCCAGCCCCAGGACACACCTGCAGTCAGGTTCACCACGGAGGCAGTGCCGGCAGTGATGGCGTCCACCTGCGAATGGATCTCGTGCTTCGACTCGTCCATCTTGTTCTTGCGCCAGGCTTTGGAAGCCTGAAAGAGCGAGAGCAGAGTCAGCCCCGGGACCCCTCAGCCCCATCTGTGAGTGGGGGGGGCAGCTGTGAGCCGGGGGGGACCCGCCCCCGGGGCAGCTGGTGCCGCCTCAGCCCCTCCCTGAGCTCAAAAGAGAACCAGCCCAGTTCATGCAGGACAGGTCCATCAATGTCTATTAGCCAGGCTGGGCAGGGATGGTGTCCGTAGCCTCTGTTTGCCAGAAGCTGGGAATGGGCGACAGGGGATGGATCACTTGATTCCCTGTTCTGTTCATTCCCTCTGGGGCACCTGGCATTGGCCACTGTCGGCAGACAGGATACTGGGCTGGATGGACCATTGGTCTGACCCAGTCCGGCCGTTCTGATGTTTGGGGTCCGGGGCCCCTAGACCTGCCCCTCATGGGACAGAACTCCTCAGGGCGGGAGTCACTCCCAGAAACCTGGCCCCCTCATCCCTGGGGGACAGTACCTCCCAGAACAAGGTCCTCCCCAACAACTCCATATCCTCCCCCCACTGCCTCCCGCCAGGCTGGGGAAGGGAGAGGGCATTCGAACACTCACGGCGTCCTGCCCAAGGGGCGGCAGCGTCTCAAAGTCGTCCAGGGTGGCCTGCGCCGCGTGCACGGCCTGCATGCTGGAGTTGATGGTGCCAGTCAGGGCCTGCTGGGCTGAGGTCTGCAACACACGAGGGGGAACAGGGCTAAGGGCCCTGCAGGGGCTGAGCGCCCGGTCTGGTCCCTGCCCCGCCCAGCACCAGGTGGGGGCTATGCTGACCCATGCAGAGGGGCAGGAAAGCGGTTGCCGATGCTGAGGCTTTGGGCAGGTGTTTCTGCAGAGAGGACACAGCCAGAACTGCATCCAATGCACGGCATGACAGCCATTCCACAGCGATGGGGAGGGAACATGGCCTGCCCAGAGCCGTCCAGCTGGGAGCCCAATGAGACCTTCCCAGATCAAGTCAGCACCTCTCGCCAAGCCCTGGGCAAAGCCCAGAGCCAGGGCCCCTACCTGGACAGACCTAACAAGGAAAGATCTGGAGCGGTGTTTGACACCTGCCCGGAGGGCGACGTCTGGGACCACAGGCAGCTCAGGGCAAGCCACGTCTTGGGCCAAAGGAGATGCACGAGGCCGGTGTCGGCAAGTCTGTCCCCTGCCTCGCCCACCCCACCCTCCATGAGCACAGCACCAGCTGAGCAAGGCCCCGGCTGGGGGGAGGGGGCGGGGGGGCGAGAAATGCTGCCCCACCCGGAGCACAAGTGGGGTGAGGCTGGAAAAGCCCCTTGCCGCACATACCGCTGCAGGGGCCGCCGGCCTGGGCAGGGCCAGACTCCACAGGGGCTGACAAGCGGCTGGCAACGCTGAGCTGGAAGTGTTGCACAGCTGCCGGGAGCTCAGGCTGAAAGGAGGACCCAAGTCACCATGGACAGGGGATCCAAGAGTGGCTCGGAGGGAATGGGGCAGCGCAGAGAGAGATGGGAAAGTGGTCTGCACTGGGGAGGTCTGTGAGAACGCACAAGGGCAGCGTGCCAATTAACTCGGTGTGACGGACCGTGGGGAGAACGGCCCATCCCCACACGTTCCCCACGACTCAGCCAAAGGCGGGCAGAGCCGGCTGTCTGCGGCAGAGCAGCTCTTACCAGGGGGGGCATGTGCCCTCGGTGCATCTGGCCACTGGTGATCTGCTGCTGCGCCTGTGGCATTGTGCCAACCTGGAAGTTCTCTGGCCCGCCGGCCCCGGAGCGCATGATGGCTGGCAGGGCTACTGAGCCGTGCTCCACCTTGCCCACGCGGTTAAACTGCTGCTGCAGAACAGTCGACCTGCAAGAGAACCAGCACCGCCGGCTACAGCTCAGCTCTCAGGGGTTCAAGGATTCCACGGCCCAAAAGGGCCACGGCACTCAGCAGGACTCACCCTCGGCACAGCACAGGCCAGAGACCACGCCTGAGCTAGAGCAGGTCTTTCAGAAAAACATCCCATCGCTTTCAGGGATGGAGAGCCCAGCGCGACCCTCTGTAGATGGCTCCAATAGCTAATGACCTTCCATCAAACTTTACCCCTTCGTTTTACTCTGAATGCGTCTGGCTTCAACTCCCAGCCACTGGATTGAGTTACACCTTCCTCTGCTAGACTGAAGAGCCACTATTACAAAAGCAGTTACCTACCTTTCCGTAACTGGTGTTCTTTGAGATGTGTTGCTCATGCCCATTGCATTTTAGGTGTGCGCGGCCGTCGGACATTTCTACCTTAGCGGTATCCGTAGGGCCTGCTGAGGTGCCCACCGGAGTGCCGTGCTCATGTGTTGGTATATCAGGTGCTGCCGGCTCTGTGCGCTCTCAGTTCCTTCTTACCGACGACTCCGACAGAGGGGCAGGAGGGCGGGTCATGGAATGGACATGAGCAACACATCTCGGAGAACAACAGTTACGAAAGGTCGGTAACCGTTTTTCCTTCGAGTGTGTGCTCATGTCGATTCCATTCTAGGTGACTCTCGAAGTATCCTCGGAGGTGGGCTTGGAGCTCACAGCTAGCGGCTTGCCACACTGCTCTACTGAAGCCAGCATCGTCCCGGGCCTGCTGGGTAAGCGCGCAATGGGACGTGAATGTGTGGATGGACGACCAGGTGGCCACCCTACAGATGTCCTGGATCGGCACTTGGGCTAGGAAAGCTGCCCACGAGGCCTGTACCCTGGTAAAATGGGTGGTTACAATCGCTAGACGGGGTACCTTCGCCTGATCGTAGCAGCAGCAAATTCAAGCAGTAATCCAAGAAAAAATTCTTTGAGCAGACACTGGACGACCTTTCATCAATGCACTGCAGGGTGTAACCTGACGATATTATGTCGAGTACCCAACAGTTGCAACCAGGCCGCCCAGAAAGGGCGCAGATAGTTGAGGAAAGAGTGGGAGGGTGGCTCCTGGGATGTGACTGGGGCGCTGTCCTCGAGCGCACCCTCAAAATGCCTGTTCCTGGCTTCCTAGGCCTCTGGAAGGGCCAGGCTGGGAAGATGAACGGGAAGATGACAGGTGTTGCCACTTAGACCCCTTGTCTCTGGCCTTTCTCCTGTAGGTGCTCAGCCGCGGAGTCCCCCAAGACCTAGACTGCAGGAGTGGAGGAGGCGGAGGACAGAACGGCTTCCTGGCCTGGGGAGGAGTGTGCAGGCCCAAGGAGCGGAGGGTGGCCCAGGAGTCTTTAAGGCCATGGAGCCGTGTGTCCATGAGCTCGAAGAAGAGCCCAGCCCCCTCAAATGGGAGGTCCTGAATGGTGACCTGCATCTCCCGGGATAACCCGGAGGACTGTAACCTGGAGCCGTGCCTCATCACTACCGCAGAAGCGCCAACCCTGGCCACCGAGTCTGTCGTGTCCCAGGCCATCTGGAGGGCACCTCTCGCTACTGTTTTGCCCTCGTCCACCAAGGCGGCAAACTCCTGGGCTCGGTCCTGTGGGAGGCCTCCTTGAACTTGCTGATGGAGTCCCACGGATTAAAATTGTACCTGCCTAACAGGGCCGGGAGTTAGACACCCAAAATTGGAGGCTGGCCATTGAATAAATTTTCCTGCCAAACAAGTCCAGTCTCTTGGAGTCTTTGTTTTTCGGTGTGCCACTCACCTGTCCCTGCCTGTCCCTCTCATTGATAGCGGACACAATCAACGACCCTGCTGGAGGAGGCGTGTAGAGATATTCGAATCCCTTTGCAGGGGCGTCGTACGTAGAATGAAAGAGGGGGTCAGCCACGGCGACTTCGCACTCTGAAGGACCCCTGGGTGGACAGGCAGCGCGATCCAGGCCAGGTTGGTGGAGGGTATAACATTAAAAGAGGATGTCCAACTCCTCCACTAGCTCCTCAATTTCCAGGTTCAGATTGGCAGCCACCCTTTTAAGGAGGGCCTGGTGCTCCTGGAACTCGTCGGGGTGGCTGCCCGTTTGGGAGGGGCCCGTCACCGCTTTGTCCAGAGACGACAACAACGACTGCACCGCAGAGGGAGGGGCGGGTTACCCTTAGGCGTTGGAGCCTGCTGTGCTGTCCCCGCGTCGGATTCGGCACCATGCTCCAACTGTGGTGCTGTGGCGGTTTGTCCGAGGTGGCCAGGGAGGAACGGTGGGAGAACGCCCCACAGATTCCAGTACAGCCACTGAGCGGGCCACTGCCCCTGCTGCCACGCCGCCGCCACGGATGCTGTGCCAGTCTCGCGGGTCGGCGCTGATTCACCCTTCCTCAGCAAGGAACTGAACTCCTGCTCCGACTCAGACCGCTGCTCCTCCGGTGCCCAGGGCAGAGCCGTGGAGGCCTGAGTCTGCCGACTGATCCTCGTCGGTGACCGGTGAGAAGAGGGAGAGGATCCGTGCCTGCTCGACAAGCGGTACCGGGGAGGCAGAGACCAGTGCCATGAACTGGAGCAATCCTGCCCCGGTGGGGACCGACGGCTGGGAGAACATCTAGGTGATGTTGACCTGCGCCATGGCGATCTCTGGCAGGAAGCTTGCCATTACCGAGGGTATAGGGACCAGTGCCTCGACGCCGATGTCCCAAGCCTGGTAGGGGGAGAGTATGGCGTCAGGGACCTGGGTCTTATGACTGGAGACAGAGGTCATGGTGCCGGGGCCCTAGGTGGGGCGATGGGGATCTACACCTGCAGTGGGTTCTGAGAATACTCCACTGCCCTATAGGATAGTCCCAGGACTGGTTTGTCCTTAGATGTTGGGGTCTTAGCCGAGTCCGGCGCCTGGTGCAACGTCTGCGGTGCCAGCCAGTCTGTTTCTTCTTTATCCATGGGCACTTCGGGCAGCGAAGGCTCTAAGAGACGCTGGGGTCCCCTGCCACTCCTGGGAGTCAGAGGTGGATCCCTGGCTGGGCTCGGTGGTCGGACAGCAGCTATACCCCCGTGAAGCTCAAGGGCGAACACGTGGCCTGACATCGGCCCTTTGCCTGAAGCCCCCTTCCCCTCTGGTGCTGGGGAGCTCTTCTTCTTTTGCTGCTTCTTAGGCACGGGCGAGAGGGAACAGTGCCGGGCGGAGCACTCCACACCGATGCCAAAGGTAGGAGTGGAGTTCGAGCGGGAGGGCTCCGATGCAGGACGAAGCACAGCCTCCACGAGGAGGGCCCTCAAGCAGATATCCCGCTCCTTCTGGGTTCTAGGATGAAAGTTCTTACAGATCCTGCACTTGTCCTCTCTATGGGACGCCCCCAAACAGCTGTTGTGGGGGGTCACTGATCGGCATCGGCCTACTGCATGAGAAGCACGCTTCGAAGTGGGGGCAAGAGGCGGCGGATGCCCCACTCCGGTGCAAAGTTCCAGCCAAGACTAACTACCAAACTAACCTAGCACTTAACTTAATGGCTAACTAAATACCTACAAACCATACACAAAGAAGATAGACAATGGGTTGTAAAGAGCCATTAACAACCAACCATGGGTAAGAAGAAATGAGAGGGCGGAGGGCCTGCAGCGCCTGATATACCAGCGAACGAGCGAGCGCGGCACTCAAGGGGGTGCCACAGCTGATCCGACGGATACCGCTAAGGCAAAAATCTCTGACAACGCTGCATATGGGCGCGCACCCAGAATGCAATCGACATGAGCAAGCACCCAAAGAATGTTTGTTCCCCACACAGGTACTTACAGCCTGGGATCAAGTCACCCCTTAACCTTCTCTTTAAGCTAAGCAGACGGAGCTCTGAGTCGATCGCTATAGGGCAGGTTTTCTAATCCTTACATCATTTCTGTGGCTCTTCTGTAAACACTCTCCAGGTTATCAACATCTGCCTTGGATTGTGGACACCAGAACGGAACACAGCACTCCCGCACAGTCGCGCTAGTGCCAAATACCGAGGTAAAATAACCGCGCTGCTCCCAGGGGAGATTTCCCTGGCTATGCAGCCCAGGGTTGCGTTAGCTCTTTTGGCCCCAGTGTCACACTGGAAGATCCTGTTCAGCTAATTATCCACCAAGACCCCCGAGTCCCTGCTTCCCAGGACACAGTCCCCTATCTTAGGAGTGTGACCTACAGTCTTTGTTCCTAGATGTAGATATGACAAAGTGGGAATATTCTGTGACATTTTTATGAGTCCTGTTTGTGCCTCAGCTTCCCGTGTGCTGCATTGTTCCCCCGCGGGTGGAAAAGGGCTGTTTGCTCTCAGAACAGGCTGAGGACACATGTGGTTGTTGCCGAGCTGTCTGGGCCCGGTCCCCACATCAATGCAGCATCTGAGAAGACAATGGCAAATCCAATCGCTCAGACATTGACACCGAGCAACCAAAGCCCCAGGGGGATCAGGATTTCCCACCTCTCAGCAGGGAGACTGAGCACCATTCCCCAGCTGGAGAACAAGGGACTGGGGAGGAACAAGGTGGGGATCAGAGCTGGCAGCTAGGAGGAGCCGGGACTCTCACCTGGAGTCTGACAAAGGAGATCAAAAGAAATGGGTTCCCTACAGCCTGGCTGGGCACTGGGCTGGCCAGACTGGATGATGCTCTAACCGTCAGTTCTCTGGGCTACCCTAAGGGCTCCCTGTGCTGTGTCCAGGTGACGGACAGACCCAACTGTTCCGGCAGCGCTGGGTGAGGGTCACTGCAGATGCTGGGCGAGGTGCATTAATCCCTGAGGAGTGGACAAGTCTCCATCAGGGTCCATCTCAGTGGGACACACTGAACAGAGCTCACGGGGTGGAGCGGGGGCTGCAGGCCCAGAGGCCCAGTCTCAGGAGGTGGTGAAACTGCATGGCTGACCCTGGAGGAAGAGTGAGACCCTCGGGGGTCTGGCCCGTTGACGGGTTCCTCCTAGAGACTGTTCCAAAGCCGGGGCCGTAGCACCGACCCCGTGGGGCCGTGACAGTACACATGTACATTTAGCTGTATTAAAACCCATGCTGTTTGCTTGTGCTCAGTTACCAAGTGATCTGGATCGCTCCATATGAGTGACCTCTCCTCTAGGTTATTTACTGCTTCCCACATTTTGTGACATCTGCAAACTTTATCAGGGATGATTTTATGTTTTGTTGCAGGTCATTGGTAAAAATGTGAACTAGCATAGGGCAAAGCCCTGGTCCCTGTGAGACCCACTAGAAACACACCTGCTCAATGAAGATTCTGTATTTTGAGATCTACCAGCCAGTTTTTTGTCCATTGAACGTTAGCTGTGTTAACTTTGTATTGCTCTCGTTTTTTTAAAATCAAAATGTGTTGCAGCACCAAGACAAACGCCCTATGGGAGTCTAAGGGCATCTCATCGACACGGTCACCTTTGCCACGCAGGCTTTTAATCTTATCTAAACAAGATGTCGAGTTAGTCAGACAGGAGCTATGACCCTCCTTTAACTCTTTAGTACTCGAGTCCTGTACCAGCCACTCCATTACCTTGCCCAGGTTCAACGTCAGGCCCACGGGCTGGTAATCACAGCTCTGGGGGGGGGGGGGGGGAGGGTTCTCCTGTCCCGCTCCCCACGGCTCAAGAAGCTGGCAGCCCTCCCATGCAGTCCCCCGCTCACACTCACTGCTGAACAGCCGACACATCTGTCGGTTTAGTGCTCTAACCCCCAGCCCACCGAGGGACTGAGCTCCCCTTCCCTGGAACCCTCCCCGCCGGCTGCCCAGAGCCATACTTCTTTGGGGACACAGAGTCTTCCAGCATGGTGGACTCTTCATCCCCCTCCAGCCCAAAGTGGTCTTTGCTCTTTTTCTGTGGGACACAGAGAGAGAGAGAGAGAGAGAGAGAGTCCATTAGTCAGCATCAACCCCAAGGGAGTCCCCCAGAGGAGGGTACGGAGACACGGCCTTGGGACAGGCCCAGCATGGCTTCCTGTGCCCCCAGGGCTACTCCAGGAGTGGAGCCCTGCCGGGGGCTGGTTGAGGAGGGGCCAGGAAGATATTGGGATCACCCCTGTGACTGCAGGGGGGAGGGTAGGTGCAGGGGAAGCTGCTGCCCTCCCTGCTTGATCCCATGCAGCAGGCGCCGGGGGGGGACGGGGACGGGGGGGGAAAAAACAGCCACAGCTCTGCTATTCCTGACTCCTGAGCTCTCTTACAGATCCTGCACTTGTCCTCTCTATGGGACGCCCCCCAAACAGCTGTTGTGGGG